GTTCTGCTCATGTATGATTATTTTAAAAAATGTCCATCCTAATAACTATCAGGTGGCAAGTTATCTGGAGCCCGATGCTGGGTGAATGGGTGAATGGGACCTGTACTGTAAACTGCTTTAAATGGTCGATAAGTCTAGAAAAGCTCCATATAAAAAAAGTCCATTTACTCAAACTATAATTTTATATTTTCTTTTGAAATTAATGCTGCTATATTTTTTCGTGTGTCGTACAAAATGAGTAAGAACATATGTCAGCTCTGGCTACCTGAGGGTATTCAGGTTGGAAAAGTCTTTAAGGAAAAATCGGTTAAACAGCTCTCTTGGTTTCTAACGCTCGCCAGGTACAATGAGAGCTTAGAAATTCAACTATGTGAGGCACAAATAATTTGAGCAGAAATCCTCCCTCCATTCACATAACTGCTGCGACTCCTGACTGACTGACGTGTGGAATCCACATGGCGAGGTGACGGCTGAGGTCCGACAGGCCAGGCGAAGGAAGCGTCTAATCAGAGCACAAGAACCGTGTCATAACAGGAGATCGGTTTCAAAGCAGAGACATAGCCGAGCAGAAGACGAGTCCTCGTCTCTTCCACTCGGAGACACAGAGCATCTCAGAGAGTATCACATTCTCTGTAGGCCCCCCCCCTCTCTCCAGGCCCCCTCTGCTCGCCTGCCCTCGGAGGTTTGAGTGACTTGTGGTGAGGCCTGATGGGGGATTATTGATCTGCCTGGCGCACGCCTGCGGTTTGGGCGTAAGACTGACGACCTCACCAGAGAGGGTTCTTGGCACTGGCCGACCCCTGTCTCGGGTCGGCGGCGGAGGAGCCATGTGTAGGCTGCAGGGACTGGCCTGTCGTGGCCTGAGAGCCTGCAGGCCCCATGGTTTGAGCTTGGATGGTTGATCAAGACATTTTTTTGGTGTATTTAAATAATCAGACCCAAATTTAAGCAGAAGATAACAATAAACATATCTGATTGGCTTTTTGGAGAGGAGTCATTGGAAATGAGTAGCCATGTCTGCAGACGGCAGAGCCCGGGGGTATTTATGCTCTTGGTTAGATTTACTGGCTCGAGTTTCGGTTCCAGTCGTGAACCACATGAAATAATCCACGGTCACTGGAGAAGGATGTGGACACTGTGCTAATTATGTGAGATGATGATGTCAGGTACTGATACCTACTCGTGAGCCAGAACTTTTCTCTCTGTGCCGAGTTCCAACGTATATAACCGCACAAACGCGACCACACTCGCTGTACGACCACACTCGCATCCACATGTCGGACATGTCTGGATCCTCGGCAGCCCTCACACTTCCGCGCTGTCAGGCAGGCGCTCGCTTTATCATTCATGGTTGTAAATCATCGCTTTGCCTGCAGGAAACATGCAGCATTTTATTTTCCAGTCATAAACCATAAAACTTGCCTCTAACACGAGTTATGATCCTTGGAGACAGAGAGGATGAATGTCTAAAGCAGAACCAGACACGATGGCGGGCATCCTCCACCACCCCCTCCCCCCCTTTCCGCCTGGCATCCCCACGTGGCCGCACAGCCGCGTGGTGTATTTTCCAAACAGCGCCGACACGATCTGAAGTGTCACCAGGGCCGTATGTCATTCAGCAGCGAGCTGGGTCCTGTGTGGCTGAGCTGCATTACCAGTCCGTTAGTTCTCCATTAACACTCGCCTGATAAAGTTTTCACAGACCTTCATCTGACGGGAAGAACACACAGAGCTCCTTCACGCCTGGTTTCCGACGAAGATGGGGCCCCAGCCCGAATTTTTGAAATTTTATTGCCTGGCTGAAACGTATGGAAAAGGCCTGTTTTGCATGAATATTTGGCACCGAGCTGAGGTTTATCCTGTTTTATGTTCTGTACACTCAGTCGTGCTGCGACAGTTAGCCGCTCCTGACAGCTGAGATGGTGAATAATTTGAAACACTGACATGAAGCGAAGGCCTTGGACAAAGAGACCTTTTGTTTGTGTGTTTGGTCGCTGTCCATGGTCCTGACACGTACAGTTTCACAGTAATTCCTTTTTTTTCTCGTTCAGGCCGGTCTCAGATTGCATAATCGGAACTGGCAGAACTCATTAGATGTAGGCATTTTTGGGTTTCATAAGTGCACTTTTCTCTGAATTGGGTTTCACTTGGCAGCAAATGGTTTCATGGAATCGAATGTTTCCAAAGCGGGCTAAAGACGCAGGCACGCTTTAATCTGGTGATGAATGGATTCAGCTCTAGGACGTCAGACGGCCGTACAGCCTACCATGTCTGCGAGGGTCTCGGCTGCTGCCCACACTGCAGCTCGTCTGCCAACTGATCATTTATTTATTACAGGTCAAAAGACAAGCTGTCTCTTATGACCCCCCCTCTCTGTGAGGATCAAGAACTTCATATCTGGTATTCATTTATGGTTTTAAATCTCTCAAGCAGACTGCAGACACAAAACGTGAGGTGCTAGAACTTTTGTCGGAGCACCACTGACATAAAATGTTCTAGTTTGGCCACAGCCAGTCTGCCTGTGTCTGTATGGAACATGTATGGGTGGGCCCCCTCACCCTGGTCCCTAAGGTTAAATAAAAAAGCCACTAGAGTGCGCCAAAGTACACAGTTATTGTTGACTCAGTTTGAAATTCTCCTGGACTGGGAGGGCGGTTGCTCAATTACAATCAGATCAAATTAGGTTCAGTTTTGTGTACTTTACGGTGGGCATGGGCTGGAGTCAAAGACGGTTTCTCTGATATTTAAGTGGCCCGTCACCAGTAGTTAAACTCAGATTAGGGAGGGTCACAGAGGTCAGGACGCCAAGCTGCTCAAACACAGTCAGGACACAGCGGAGAGCCCCAGAGTTTATCTCTGGCATAAATGAGAAATCAAGATGTGTGGATTTCCCTGTTTGAGGGAGAAAAGACACACACACACAAACACACACACACACACACACACACACACACACACACACACAAAACCTCAGCTCTGTTAGTGAAGACTGAAACATACACAGAGATATACAGCTCTGTGAGTGGTATGAGACTCTTGAGGATCACTTCCCCTCGAGCTGCTTCTCTGAAACGTTTGTAGAGGTCAAGTAAACTGTTTGTATTGGGCTGTCAACTGTGTGTGTGTGTGTGTGTGTGCACAGTCATCTGAATGAAGTGGTTTTATCTCCTCACAAACTCCTGCTTGTATCCCTCTCAGCTGACAGCATAACATCACAGGAAGAGAGTGCACCCTTCTTTGTGCTGCTGCTGCAGAACTACTCATAACCTGGTATAGAAATCAAGCCCACATCATCGCTGGCATCATGGTCAACCGCCGAAATTTAACGGGGACAAAACTCCATGTACCAACTCCCCCAGAATGAGTCTGCTGTCTCTCCCGTGCGTGCAGGACATTATGCTAATTTCTCTGGGTGTCTGGGTCCCGCTGCTCCTCCAGAGTTCATTATTATAATTGCTAGACATGGCTGAGAACGCTGAGAATGTGAACCTGAAACCAGTGGGAGCTTTTTCCACGCAATCTATATTCAGGGAAATCCCGAGAATGTTCCCAATTTGAAACTTTAAAAAAAACACACACACATGGGATGGTGTAGCTCTCCCTCTCTTCTCCCTGTGTGTGTGTGTGTGTGTGTGAGTGTGTGTGTGTGTGCGCGCACACTTAGACTGGCTCTATTATGTCTTGGAATAATGTAAAACAGCTTCCCTGGTTCCCTCTGTCTCTGTTCCTGTCTCCATCTCTCTGGTTTCCCAGTGCACCTTTGAAATGAAGCCATGGCAGTGGTGGTGGCAGTAGTAAGTCTGGCTGAGCGTGCCGAGGGCCCCCGGCCCGCCTCGGCGTCCCAGTCCAAAGACAATGTTGGTGCAGACGGAACGGCGGACCAGAGATGACACCGCGGAACGTGCTTCCTACACAGCTCAACTATTTCATAAAAGATTAAATGAGCAATGACACCACTAAACGGTCTTGGAGAATTAAGAGCAAACTCAGTGGTGGCCCTTTCAATTGAAATGGAAAGTCAGCAGAGAGGAACATCTAATGCAAACACACAGAAAGTTCTTCTTCTCCTCATAGACAAGTTGAAAATCTATGATTGTGCAAATTCATTTCAAACATCGGACTCCCACAAGTTGTCCTCTGCCTCGCTGTGAAGTCCACTCTCAGCGTTCAGTGCACAGGAAGTCTCAAGTTTCCACATCACACTTCTGTAAACTGTAAATTGGACCACGTTGGCTTCCCATGGTGATGTCACGAGTTATTCCACACTTACACTTTTAAGTCTTAAACTGTTTTTAGGAAAGAAACACAGAAACTTTCCCCTTCAATCAAATGAACATAAAAAAACAACCTTCTAGTGTCAAACTCTGCACATACGCTCTTTAAGGCTAAACTCAGCGGACAGAAAACGAGGAGGATAATCTCTATACACAAACATATTCCACATGTAATCAAATCATTAGGTGGAGAGAGGAGATGAAGAGGAAAAAATAAGTTACAAAATTCCTATTTTATTCTTAAAATAAACAAAAATGTACAATCACAATGCCAATTTCACTCACTGTTGTCAGGTCTGTTTGTCCCTTAAAAAAAACAACAAAAACAACAAAATCACTTGATGATCTTTGATGAAACGTACCAGCAAAGTCTAATGGCGTCTCAATTAGTCTCAGTTTCCTGACAAGCGTTCATGAGAGAAGAAGCATAACAAGAGACAACAAGAAGAAAACTTTACATACGAGCCTGGATATCATACATGGTGATCATTAAATAATACAAGATCTCTGATGTATGCAACATTACACCAAAGGAAAGGAAAGGATGAGCGTCTTATTTTCTGAGGAAGAAGAAAAAAACAACAAATAAAAGCACATGAGGACAGAATGGGATGTCAGTGCTGCGGTGGCATGTAAACAGTTTTTAAAAGACCATTTCCTGTTCAAAATTTGGATAGAATCTGCAACAAATGTGCAGTTACTATGGAGACACTGGATGAATTTGTATTTGGAAAATAAAGCTGTAAAATCACAACAATCTAAAGGTTTTTTATTTGCTTTCTTATGTTACACTGTACCAGCAAAAATACTTTTCGTTTTTTTGGACTGCAGCAGTCGGGGAAATGTAGTGTGACATGTTCAATTCCATTAAGTGAGTTCAGAACATCCTCTGCAGAGACGGGGAAAGAGGCACTGCGTGCAAACCTTCAATGAAAAGCTTGAAGTCTGATCCTTGGACAGGGCCATGTTTTTCTCAGCTTTTTCAAATTGGGTTATTATATTACCTATATGCACTGAATATCAGATTGCATGAAAGGAAAAAAAAGGTTTTCTTTTTTTAAACAAATACCAACTGCCTTGTGAGATCAGATTCTGGTCCAATGTAAATGGCTTGTTTGGCCAAGTGTTATCCATTCTGCGTGTGTGTGTGTGACTCCAGTGGCATTATATCGGCAGAGAGCACCAAAAACCACGAGCCCCGCTGGCAGCCGGCCACAAGTGCTGCTAGAAATAAAACAAGAAATAAGTGCTTTATGAAACAAACATACACAAGTCTCCCATATTTTTCGGTTACCAGTTTGCTGCCAGCAGCTGCATCCAATCACCTCGGTTTTTGCACGTTTTACTTTTAGAAAAAAAAGAAATTTCAGATTGGAAAATATCAGACCTCCCACTCATCCTGGTGCCACGGAGATTTTCGATTGTGACACTGGTTGGTTGGTGAGGTTTGTACAAATGTTATTTGGGTAAATCATGTCAACAAAAGCTAAAACACTGGAATAAATAAACGCCTGAAGGAATGTCACAGTCTCTTTAGTCTTTAACTGTGATGTCTCCTTTTCAATCTTAAAGACAGAGAGAGGAGGACAAAGTACCCATGTGTGTCACACACTAAGACAAACTTTTTCAAAGCCATCTTCTGCACATGATATGAAAGCGATAATAGACTTGGCGTGTTTCCCCCTGCGATCTTGACCGATCACACGAGGATTTCTCCCGTCCTGAGGATTTCATGTATCACAAACTAACTGAACCTTAAAAAGTCTGACCTGCTGCCTCGGAGCGTACCACCAGACATGGAGCTGCAATCATCATCATCTTCAGGCTCCGTGTCAAATTGTGCATAAAAGCACCATTTCTTATTTGGATAAGAAAATACATATGTATATGAGTGCATGTCAGACTAGACAAACTACAGAAACCAAGCAGACTTTCCCCCAACGGATAATTATTTTCCCCCCAGTGAAGCGCTCTTTCATGGTATGTTGCCAAGAGGCACAATACGAGTTATTGCTCAATAAATACCGAAGGTTTAATTCCGAGCCAAATGTGTGTCAACGCCTAGCGAGGATGTCAGGCTCTTAACTTGCGGAGCAGTTAAACTGAAAGTTACACCAGAAGAAACATGTTGCAATACTCTTTGGAAATTACATTTCATATTTGAAACAATTTAAATCTTTGGGTACTACAAAAAAATTAGACCTCTCACTCTCTTAAATTACCTATCAAAAGAAAAAAAAATCATTTTAACTTAATCATATAGATGCATCAAAAATATTCAGATTACACTTCTTTGCCTCAAGTTTCAAATACAATACATAATTTATGGCTTTATAAGTTAAAACTAGGAAAAACGTCTTAATCTACATCGCTTCACCCACAATATACAAGTTAAATTAATTGATTTAAAGCAAATTTACTGTCCATACCGCTTAAGGTAACATATGTGTTACTCTCATCACTTGCTACTCAGTGCGTAACTTGCATCTTGATATTGTCGTAGTACAAAAACATGCTCTGCAAAAAGCCTTATTGAAATACAAACACTATACAAAAAAAGGCAGTCTCCTACAAATATTGTTGAAGCATCCCTTAGCTTGTGGATTATAAGAAAAGTGAAATAATGTCTCATCCACTGGGGCCTAGTAAACCAAACTGTCTTTCTCATTATTGCTGTGAGAATGACTCCCTTTGTAGTGCCTTGGTCAAAACACATTCCAGGAAGACAAGTCCGTACAAGTCTGGTCTTTTTTTATCTCAACCTTAATTTCCAAGCAAAAGGTAGAGATAGCTGATGAGAGCTCCAAAATCCCCTTTTCAATAAAAAAAGGTTTTGTGCTTTCAAACCATGACCTCAGCTGACTTCCAGTCTCCGCCCCCTGCTCTTCTTCAATATGGCCTCCAGACGGCTTCATCCATGCGGCCTCCGGGGTTGAGAACCGTCGGGGAGTTGCTGTGGCTCCCGTCGCCGTCCACGCCTCCCTCTGTCTGGCTGGGCAGGTTGGGGTTCACCAGGGAGGTGCCCGTGGAGGCGCTAGTGCACGGCGGGATCATGCGGGAGGGTGAGCGATCCCCGCCAGGAACCATAGAGAACTGGTAGGAGCCGGACGAGGCCCCGTAGTAGAGATAGGGAGTGCTGCTGGTCTGAAAGGGTCCGCTCTGGCTCTGGGTGGAGCCCGGGTAAGGAGGGGGAAGGTAGGTGTGGTAGTGGGTGCTGCCCAGCGACATGGCGGAGGTGACGGGCGGGGTGTAGGTGAAGGTAGCCGGGTAGTGCATCCGAGGGCTGGGAAAACGAGTCTCTGTGAGGGAGGACAGGCCCGGGAACTGACGCTCAAACTGACCGGGGAAGGGGCTCAGGTCGGAGGAACCTAGAGACACACACACAAACACGCACAACATGAATCACTTTCTGACATGAGCAGATATTATTATGAAAGCCTAAATCATTACACTCCTTCACACAAGTTCACACCAGTCAGTTTTGATTGCGGAAAAGTTGGCTTTGGACTGTATCACTATTTAGAACTTTGTCTTGTAGAGTAATTGAACTGAACAAATAAGTCCCTTGAGAAATGAAGTGTTAGTTAACCGAATTGTGCGTAATCAGATATTTCGAGTCAGATATGTGTATTAACCAATTTGGACTGTGTCATGGATTTTGTGGCCACACTTATGAAACAGTATTTCGCCATAAATATTGTTATATCTTTCAACTTCAGGGTTGTTGTGCTTCATCTCAGGAGTGTTGATAACAAACACCAACAAAGTCCCACACATGCATATGCTTTATTGTTTACACCTCTGCATACTTATGTTTCTGTGTGTGTGTCGGTGCATGTTTATGTGTATCTATGACTTTTTAAGCATGCAAGCACACACTCGGTCGTGCAAACGGAGTGTGTGTGTGTGTGCGTGGGTGGGTGTGTGTATGTGGGTGGGGTGTGTGTGTGTGTGTGTGTGTGTGTGAATACTGTATGCACATAAAAAAGCAGTTGGGATGAATCAGGAGCTGCACATGTGGAAACACTTTGAGCAAGAAACAGTTTCCATGAGATCCATAATGAGGCAGGGCTGAGCTCTGATGTGGCTCCTCTCCTCGCCTCCCATCGGCTCCAGCGTGTGTGTGTATGTGTGTGGGACTGTGTGCACAAAGTTGTGCGAGCGTGCGCGTGCGAGAGGGAGCCGCTCCATCTCACCCTCCGTTCCCTCTCCTCGCCTCATCCCTTTAAAAAATATCCCAAAAACCACTAACTGGCTGCGGCGAGCTTCGCGCTGGGCGCAGAGTTTAAGGAGAATAGGAGCCCCCCCACCACCACCGCCACCACCCGCTCCCTCCCTCGCGTCTCCTCTCAGCGGTTTAGTCCAGCCATGGCGCTCTTATCATAAATCACCAGGCGTCTTCCGTGTCACCATGTCTGCTGCGAGAGGACAAAGGGGGGGGGGAGAGGAGGGCGTACAGTGTTTATGTGCAGGGGAGGAATTGTGAAGCCCGGTTTGTCGCTAGCGTCAGATAGCATATGCTGCCAATTAGGGCCCTTTAAACTTCCTCTTTCCACAAGATCCGTTTGATTCGGATAGAAATAGTAGGTGATTGTCTCTGCTGCGGAGGAGCAGTGTGATCTCAGACGTGAGCGCCGCTGCTCAATAAACTCCTGACTGTTTAACATTCTGACCCTTGTGATGATGAGCCAGGTTCAATTGTATCAATTGAAATCAAACCAGAAGTGAAGCATTGTCTAAATATTCGGAGGATTTCCCACAGTTTGGAGCGTCACTTCCAAATGAGGTGTCTGACAAGAGTGAACTTTTGCAACTGCCTCTTAGCAAATGTCATCTGTGTGTGTGTGGAGGGGACGGGATGCTGTTTGCACTGGAGCATCCATATCAGCTTCTGCTCGTGCTTGTCGGTATGTTCTGTGGCTGGATACTGTTACTGTGCAGCCTGGCGAGGTGTCAACATGATCTCTGGAGATCTGAGAGCCTCAGTCACTTCACTTAGGAGGCATTAAGCGCTCGAGGTGTGCGAGCGGGTGAGGGCGGGTTTTGGCCTGTGCTTATGCGTGTGCACGTGTGTGTGTGTGTCGCTTTGAGAACAAAGCCTGGTGCTCGCGAGATGAAAGCTGAGGGGGGAAAACGGGGCTAATCAAAGCTGACAAGGCAGCTGGCTGGATTTTAAACCTTTCTAATGCAGAGTCACACGGCCGCGTCGTGTAATCACTCACCCTCGCTCGGGGCGCATGCACGCACACATGCATGCATGCACGCACGCACGCACGCACACACACACGTACACACAGAGGGTGTAGTAACAGGGAAACAGAAGGAAAAAAAAGTCAAGCAGGAAAGAAAGCTCACATGGCAGTGAGTCAAACAGGTGTACGGGGGAGAAACTTGTCTGGCGGCACGTAAGGATTTTAAAGGAGCTTTCACATTGGGGGGAAAAAAAGAGACAAATTGGAACACAGATGCCGCTGTAACAGCACAACAGACTGGCTAATGCAATTACCCAGAATGCCTTGTGAGAGTTCTGTATCGCTATAAAGACACTTTATTTGTCAGTCACGAGCCTGTTATTATCCCTAGGCCTGTTATTACCCATACTCCTCTGGGATCAAAGGCTTGGAACGAGGAATAAAGGAAACAATCGTTCTTTTCCTCCACTTTTCAAAAAAGCGCCATCCAAAGCAATCAACTGGCTGCAGACACAGTCGCGCTCTGACGACACTCTTCATTCCTCGCGTTCATTTAAGAATGAGATATATGCGTTTTCGTTTATGTATATATGCTTTTGATTGTGAAAATAACGAATGTGAGGGTCTTTCTTTCTCTCCCCGATTACGGATGTTTTTCTCCTATATTTATTAAAGAGTGTGGTCCTTCAATTTGAGAGCGGAACCTTCACATTTAGATTTTGTAATGCTTTATCTCAAAACACAAAAAAGCCCCCATCTTGTGCTCAGATTTGCTCTGCTTGTGCTTGAACAGTTCATTTTCACGCAAAAACATTACAGATTTCCTACGCTTCAGCTTCATCGCTTCTCCTCGTGTTCACGCTGCTTCTGTGGGAGACGTCTGCTCTCTGATCTTTTCTTCTGCGCTTGGATTTTTTTGTGCTACAAGTCAAATTTCCCCAACCAATAGAATGCCAGGTGAAGTGATGATGAATGAAAATATCCCTCCCTCAATGTGGGTGTGTTAGCTTTACTTCTCCAAGAGTCCTGTATGGGCGGTTACTTCAAGCAGGTTCATAGAGAAGCTTTATTATTACACCGGCTTCCAGTCAGAAATAAGGCTAACAAACCCACAACGTACCCACACACGATTCCTGTGTCCTTCTATTGCTTCAGTAAAAAGATTTTTATCTGGATTATTTAAGATTATTATTGAGATTATTTGCAGATGAGGCAGTCATAACAGGACAAGGGTGGCTTCACACAGTGGCAGAGAGGTGGTTCTACCTGGCAAGCGTCGAGGCACGTCGCTGATGGCAGGCAGGCCCGTGCCTCGGCTGGAGGAGAGGGGGGTGGTTGAGTGGACTGAGGGGGAAGCCATGGGACTCAGGTAGGACGGGTACGTCTGTTCATATGACCAGGGAGGAGAGGACTGGGACTGACGAGGGTCTGATGGGGAGAAAATGAGCGAGGGAGGAAAAGGAGAGTAAAAACAGCCCAGAAAGAGAAAAAAACAGATTCGTTCATCATTTTTGACTTTGCTAAACTATGGAGCATTGATAATAAGACACACAACAATTGCAGACATTATTAGTGTCCCTGTTTCTCCGTGCTTGTGTTCGGAGGTAAGTATCAGTTGGGCGTGTTATGCAACATCCTCTGCAATAACACATTATGTTTACTTTTGAAGAGAAGATCTTCCTGTTTGCCTCATAAAACATTGTGCTTGCAGCTGAGGCCCAGAGAGCCTCGCTGGCACACACCCAGGTTGTAAACACGCCAGCAGACGACCATGAACATAACACGTCACATCACGCACACTTCAACGACGTGTCTGTACTGCGGCAGCTTATTGTGGAGACTGATGGATATTACAATGTATCTAAGCTATTTTTAAGTGTTATGATGATGCAATGGACTCATTTGTAGTGATTGAATGTCTGAGATTCAGTCGTCTGACTCACTGGATGTGCACTGTGGGTACAGGTCTGCCAATGGATGCCTATTTCTCCTCCTCTACCAGCCTCATAATGTTTTTAAATTCCTCTTTACATTCCACTTTAAATCCTGCTATGGGAAATATCTCTGTGCTAGCAACCTACATGATGATAAAGCCACATTTTCACGAAGACTTCAATCGTGCAATCACACAGTCATCATTAGTCTTTTTACTGTTTCGGTGTTTTCTTTTTAAGGTTAATTTTCCACTAATACAAGTTCCCCCTGACACAATTTTGCAGGAGCACAGTCGTTGCAGCTCATCATTGGTTTTAAGAAATCAGTATTTTCCTACTGCAGAATAATAACAGGGGGCAGCCAGACCATTCTTCAGCGCTGACACAGCACTGTGGAGATGGTGATTCAGTGATTCCCGGTCAATTGTAGCCCAGGAGGTGATTCTGCAGTTGTCAGTGATCATATGGAAAGAGCTCATCTGAAAATAAAGTTACTTTCAGACTACTATCTACTGTGCTCTGGATAATCTCCTGACATTCTCTGCTGTATGTTAGAAAACAAATGTCGGAGTGAGAGCCTCCAGAGGGGATTTACCGCGAGCCAGTGGGCGTGTTGATGACATTTCTAACACGCAACAGACAGAAAACTGTAACAAATCGCAGAATGAAAAGGAGTAGACACCAAAGAAGATGTGAAGAGAGCTTTTGGCGACAATTCTACGGAGTTCATTACTGAAAATATCTTAAGATAAAGTAAGGTAAAATATAATAAAACAGCTACTTTAAATTAATCGATAGTTGACATGATATATGTAGTGAAAAGTGCCAAAAGATAAATGGCTAAACTAGACCGCTAAAACTAAGATATAAATACGTTTTAAATTTAAAACAGCATGACACAGTGCATTAATT